TTGCCTGAAAAATAACCCAAGCACTACAATAAAGTTCACCAAGGGGCAAAACACAGAGGGTGTTTCCCAGGTGAAAATTGGTAAATTGATTTCTCTGAGTTCCCAAGAAAAGGGGGGTACTGATATTTATTGTTTCTGACTCATGCATTTTCTGGTTGGCCTGAGGCATTCCCCTGCAGAACAAATAAATCAAGGGAAGCTGTTAAAGTCTTGTTAAACGAAATTATACCATGGTTTGGAGTACCTAAGGGTACCTCTTCAGATAGAGGTTCACATTTTTGTGCAGAAATTGTACAAATAAGAAGCAAAGCACTAAGTATCGATTGGCAATTACACACACCCTATAGACCCCAAGCAAGTGGGCAATTAGAAAAGATAAATCATCTCATCAAACAGTAAATTGCTGAAATATGTCAAGAAACAAATTTTCAGTGGAATCAAGCTTTGCCTATTCCCTTATCAGATTAAGGGTCAAACCAAGATCAAAAGAAAAATTGAGCCCTGTTGTGGTTTTGCTCACCAAACAACCCCTGGGGCTGAGGATGGTTTTGTCCAGGTGGATTTCTGGAGAAAAAACTAATCAAAACTCTTAGTGACGTCTTTGTTAATTACATATTTAAGAAAAATGGAAAAGAAGCTTGTTGTGCAGTTGAAATTAGGTAACCATGTAGGAGAGGCAGTAGGTCCCATGTAGGGGCCAGGCCTCCCTCTTCCCCCGGTCCTGGGCTGGGGGCAGGTGTGGTACTGGAGCCCCCCTTCTTTCATGTAAGAGAGTAAAGGAAAAAACTTTAGAGGACTGACTGCTTAGACAAAAACCCTGCAGAAGAAATGAAATTTTGCTTGGCAGACCTGTCATGGTTTTGCTGGTTCTTAAAAACTAAACAGGAATTTTTCCCTTCCCCCTGCCCACTGCATGGAGGGGATGTGAAATGGGCAGTTAAGTAACACAGAAGAAGCTGCTGGTAAGGCCACATTCCTAGTTAATGACCCTCAGAATCTTGCTTTTGGGGAAGGGTGAGGAATTCCTTTTTACCTTTTTCTTCTCTTGTCTCCTGGGAAACGGGGGGGAGGAGTTCAGGTGACTGTTAAAAGCTGGAACAAAGTTGGAGTTCGGAGTGGGTTTTGTTCTCAGCCTGGCTGTCAGCTGTGGATTCTGCTTGGATTTTCATCAGATAGGGACTGTTTAGGGAGGTTTTACCCCTTCTTCGTTCCTGTTTGTTTCTTTCTTAGCAGTGGCTCTTGTGCACATCAAAGGGAGAGGGAAAAACTATACCACACAATTTAACCAGCAGAACAGAGTGAGTTCCAATTGGGGAGGACTTTTTTTTTTGTTGTTTCTCTCCATCCTCTCTCTCCCCTTTCCCAGTGTGTGTGGGGGGAGGGAAAATCATTTTTGGTTTCTCCAACACACCCTGAAGGGTGTTTCCCCCACGTGGTAATGGGTGTTCCCCCATGTAGCAATGACCAGTGATCCCACAGCGCCCCCTGTCGACCAGTATAAAACACTGCAGGATCTGAATTTCCAGTGATCCAACCCCCTGTTGACTGTGGTTAGAATTGCACCAAAGGGTACAAACTGAACTGTTTACCTTTTTTTTCTTTGTTTATTGGTTTGTTTTGAAGGGGATTATTTGTGGGTATAGGAGTATTGTTTGGTTGTTTTACTTGTTTATTTTCTTTGTTTCTGCCAATACACATATATCTGTTAATAAAGGGCTGTTATTTTTCTTTTTTTTACACATTTTTTTCCCCTCAATCGGAACCTCCTTATTATGAATTTACAATTGCTTAGAGGGAGGAGTTTGAGTCTTCCTTATAACTCATCCTCAGCAAAACACCTGTGTCTCATTTAAACTGAGACAGACCCTATACGATGCAAACTGTAAATAGTGAAGTCTTAGATCAAATAGGCAATCAGTATGTGTATAATTATGTTATGGCTATAGGAAAGAAACTGCAGAAAAATGCTACTGTGGTGTTAGAACACCAACCTAAACAACCTGATGGCAAATTACATCCATTCAGTCCTGGTGATTGGGTGTTTGTCTTTCAGGAGAAAGGGAAGTGGAATGTACCTTTCCAGGTGCTGATGACCACCTTCACAGCGATCTGAGTGAAAGAGAGACCCTCGTGGATCCACTACTCCGGAGTCAAGAGAACTCCTGAGAAAGAATGGACCTCAGAACAAGAACCATCTGCTCTCAAGCCTACCTAACACTGATCTTTGGACTGGTAAGTACATTGGTGATAGGTCAAGTTTTTGCCCAAAATTCATTATTGTCTCAGGCCTATGGTGGGGGTCTCTGGCCTATGGACCTACTTTAAACAATCAATTGAATATTTAAAAGAAGGAGCTGCCATATGAGCTCGAACAGATAAATACAATACATCTGTTATAATCTCTCAGGGAACAAGGGTCCTGAATGGTTGGCAAAATCCTGGTGATTGGAGAACTGCAAGTGTTTTAGTAGGGAAGATTGGAGAACAAACTCGAGTTGGATGGAGAGCATACAAACCACCCTCACAAATCAGCTGGCCGCCCAGAATTGACATTACTGTGCGAGATCCTTTAGTCATACTTCCTGAGTTCCCAAAAGAATATGAAAACATAATTAGTGGGTTTGCCTGTGGATCTGACCAATGCTGGCACACCTTTACTTTAAATGAATCAGTTTCAGTAATGTGCAATTGGATGTTCAGAGAAGGAAATGTAACAAGGAGATTTATAATAAATGTTACATCAAGTATTCCAACCACCAAATCTCCTACTACACCACTAACCAAGACCACCACAAACCCCACAACTCCCTCTTTAAGTTGTGAGAGTGTCCACAACTTAACCTTTTCTGGACCCTATGTGATCAGACAATCAAATGAGCAAAAACTACAATTAGATCCCATGTACTCACTGAAAAGGGTCCAAATAAAAAAACCCAAAAAGGGTTTTTTATTAACAAAATCTGAATAAACAACAAATGGTGCAATCAAATACTTTCAGAAGAAACAAAACAAAGTCTTGGCAGTTCAACAACTGCTCATAGTCACATGCGCCCGCAGCAGCCAGCAGCCGATGGTTTCACAGTCAGTGATGAAGGAGTCCTTTTTCCCACAAGCAATCCTTAAAAACAGAATATCTTGCTCTGAGATGGGTTGATCTCTCTCTCAGGTGTCCTCCACAAGGTGTCCTGTGGGGAAAAAAACTTCCTCTCAGGAAAAGAAATGGAGTCAACCGAAACATGGCTGCCTGCTCTGTCTGGTCCACAGATCAAACCCAAAAAACACCCCCGAACCCAAGACTCCCCCAGCATCCCACGCTGCCCAACGCATGCAGCTTTGCTCCATGCCCCACCCCCCATCCTAGAAGAAACAGATGCCGAGGGGGAGGGGCGGACATTGAGAAAAAATTCCATCTCTTTTCAAACCCTATGACAGTATGTATTGTTGGAGGGGGATGCCACTCCTGTGTTTCTTCCTTATCACAGGTTGGCTCATCATGCCTTGTAGATTACATGGATGTGCACATCTATTGGGTTGCATATCTGCAGAAATTATTACATAATCATTTGTCTGTAATTTTTTTTTCCCTTTTCTCACTTTTCCTCTTTCTTCACATGGTACACATAGAATGCCAAGGTGACTGTCCCCTGGAGGCTAGGAGTAGCTACGCTTCACATGGGGTCTTTGGCTGGTCCAGGTACTGCCAAGCTGCTTCCTGTCCCAACACCAGATGCGCTACCAAGCTGCAACGCTGTACAACTGCAACGTGGATGTGAACTCGGTCACATTGATAAAAGGACTGATATATTTCATTTTGAATTTTTCGTGTTAACGTCCTCATTGCTATATGTTCTATAAGTGCCTCTATGGGTGATCTTAGTTTTCATTCTAACCAATCAAAAAGACTATTAAATCCATTTTCATTATTCTCCTTTAGCTAGGCAACTAAAACCTTTAACTTATCAATGGATGGATTGATTCTGAGTGGTCACTTAAATTAATACAGCATAACCCTTCAAAATCTTCACAACCATGATCATGAGCTAACAACAAGAAATCTATGGTTGTTCTGTTTTGCAGGGTTGCTTGCCTTACCGAACTTACATCTGTAAGTCTTCCAGGGCTGAGCTAGTGGCATTTACTTCTTTTGCTAGCCAACATCCCATCTTGTTGAGAGCGTTTAATGCATGATTTGCCTCTATGCCTGGAATTAAAAAACTACCAAAAAATCTCTGTGCATTGTTCCAAAAGACTATTTCGGAATCACAGTCTACCTTGAAACCATGCATGTTAAATTTCTGCTTATTAATAGAACATTTTAAACCTTTACTGTGTGACAGAACTTTAGGAGGCAAGGGAGTTTTCACAGGATTAAACAAAGCAAGTTTACCCAGAGTACATGGTCCTCCTTCAACCTTGCTAGGAATGCCTTTCCACACTCTTTCTCCACAAATTAAAAATAAGTCATCAGGAAGTCCAATTGGAAAAGGTTTAGATTTAATATTTATTGCATTAAGGTGGTGTTTACACCAAAAACTTTAATTGTGGTATGCACTTGTAGGAGACACATCTAAAGCCAATAGGTCACGTGTGTGTGGATTTTCAGGGTGGAAATAGAAACACAGGGGGGCATACTATCTAATTATTGAGGTTCTATTGTAAATTTGTAAAATAATTTTGATTTGGCCTTTTGGGCTGGCTATGGCCTGTGTTATGCTTTTTGTAGTAGTTATCTATAGGTACATTATAAATTTCTGTGTGTGAGTATGAAGGTTGATTCTTTGTCAAAAAAACATCCCATTCTTCTCTGGAAAGTGGAATTCCTACCAGACAGGTCCAAAATGGATTTGTCGGGGTGGCAAATGACAGACACACAACTTCTGTTTAAGTGGTCCACATGTTTTTTCTGTTGGAGGTTAACCATTTGGGTGGGACTGGAGCAGGAGGAGGCATTCTTGCAGGCATTCCGGTGGTCATGAGGATGAAGCAAGAGATGGTCATATGGCCAGTCTTCGCGAGCGAAGATCCGGGGAAGGTCTTTACACCTTCCAGCCTGCGCATTGGATTTTTTTTAGGTGAGACACAGTGTGCGCGGAACTAAGTCCACCCTTTAATCCTAAGGTTCATCTGCCGGGGCCAAGCAAGCTTGGACGGTGGCAGCGAGGTCCTCAGGACGTAGATGGGTTGCCTTTAAGGGCTAACGAGCTCCATCTGCCTGGGAGTGGCCCTGACCAGGAATCGAACCCGGGCCTTGGCGGTGACAGCGCCGCGCCCTTACCACTAGACCACCAGGGGCTCCATATAAAATGTGAGGGAATCCATCTAGGTCTGGGATCTGTTAAAACACAACCATACCCTTTTCCCCATGTTATCAAAGTGCAAGGACCTTGCCATTGGCCTGAAAGTAGATCTTTAAACATTACTTTGGGTTTTGAATTTTCAGGTATGTGTGCAGGTATAAAGTGTCACTGTACTGGGGTGGAATTTTCTGTCATTCTGTTTAAAAAATTAAGTACATACAAAGCTTTGTTTAAACAATTTTTCAGAGTTAATCCTGTATTCCCCCTTTTTTGCTTTTTTAACATATTTCTGAGAGTGCAGTGAGCACGCTTTATGATTGCTTGACCTGTTGGGGAGTGAGGGATTCCTGTTATATGTTCAATTCCCTATAATGCAAAGAAATCTTTGGTTTGTTTTGACACATATGAGGGTCCGTTGTCCATCTTTATCTGTTTTGGCACACCCATATGTGCAAATGCAGTTTGTCCTGTTGCCACTGGCCATCCTTTTGCCAAACTATTACAGCATTACCTGTTTTCCCAGAACCATCTGTAAAAACAGTCTGGGCATTTTTAAGTGGACCTCGAGACCAATGAGTTCTCAACTTCAAAGGGATTTGATTAAGCCTCTGTAAAAAAACAAGCTGGTAAATGGATACTCAATCGACCACGATAATCAATTAAAGCAATTTGAAAATCAAAACTGCAATTACCCTAGATGCTCTGTGTTTAAAGGCAAATATACAGTCTGGAGATCAGAGCCCATGATCTCCAAGCATCTAACACAACCCTCATAACACATTTTAGAAATAATTTCTGGTAGTTTAGTAACTGTTTTTGAAAACTAGTGAGGTAAAAAAACCCATTCCCACAACAAAATGTAGTGTTATTCTGGTATAGATGTCCTATCAACCCATAGGGTGACGAGGTCCTTTAATGATGACAAGTGTCACTGGTTCATTTTGGAAACATCTATGTCCTTGTTGTGAATTTAATTTCTGTTCCACGATACGCAGGGCTGCAATGACTTCTGGAGTCAGCTGTCGAGGTGATGTCAGGTTTGCATCTCCTTTCAGTAAGTCAAACAGTGGGTGAAACTCATCTGTGGAAATCCCTAGAAGAGATCTAAACCAATTAAACGTTCCTAAAAGTTGTTGTAAGTCATTGAGGGTTTTTACTGATGTGTAGCAGTTATTAATATAATAAATAATAAGTCCCATAGGGACCATAGCGACACCAACGTGATGTGTAACAAGAGATCCATTTATTCAAGGAGTCCCAGCTTATATATCAGTTTCAAATGCTACCACGTCACACAGGTAACTTCTTAAGCCAATCTCATACAAGCATTCAATAGAGCATGTGTGACAGAGTACTTAGAACTACAACTCCCAGGATGCTTTGCAGCACCTGGTGTAACCAGACCCATAATTCCCCCATTTTTATTAATAACAAGATACAAAAGTGTAAATTGAAAAAACAGTGCAATTCTTAACAAAATGTTTTTCACTTGACATAGTAAACTTATTTCTTGTTTAAACCTTATATACCTAAGAGTTCTATGCAATAATAAAACTTTATTAATCAAAAACCTTATTTACCTAAGGGTCTTCTGCAATTGGGTAGAACAAAAACCTTTACTATCTGAGGGTGTACACATAACTGGGGAAAACTTACTTTATTAAAACACAAGGAAAAGTTTAAAGGAGGAACATCATGTTTTGAGTTGTCTTTTATTAAGGCCATGTATTAGAGGTAGTGTTTGTTGTGTGTGTTCGTTTCAGGTATTTTGTATAAGGTGTAAATGGTTCACATAGATTCATACATTCACACAATCTCTCACTCATTCGGGTGGCCACCCCAATAATTTTTCATTCATGCATACATGTAATCTTTATTTTGTTTTCATATTCTAGCTATACAACTTAAACTTTTATGTAGTGTTTGGTCAGAATGAAAATTGTTTGACTCAGTATTTACTTACTTAATTACATGCATATTCTCACCATGTACTCCTCTTTTTTAGTTGTGAATATTGAAAGTTAATGAATTTAAAGGTATAATACTGGTAAGTAGTGTGTATATTTCTGAGTGTGTACTTAGAAAAATGAATAGGTAGGTTACTATTATAATTTGTTAAATAACAATAGAAGTTCTTAAAGATGTTAATTACATTACTTAAACATAATAAAATAATGGCCAGTCTTCGCGAGCGAAGATCCGGGGAAGGTTTTTACACCTTCCAGCCTGCGCATTGGATTTTTTAGGTGAGACACAGTGTGCGCGGAACTGAGCCCACCCTTTAATCCTAAGGTTCATCTGCCGGGGCCAAGCGAGCTTGGACGGTGGCAGCGAGGTCCTTAGGACGTAGGTGGGTTGCCTTTAAGGGCTAACGAGCCCCACCTGCCCGGGAGTGGCCCTGACCGGGAATCGAACCCGGGTCTCCGCGGTGATAACGCGGCGCCTTTACCACTAGACCACCAGGGGCTCCATTACTTAAACAAGGTAGGTATAAAGATACATTTAAGAACTTAATTTTAAAAAATATTCAGTAAATGTAATTATTAATTTAAATAAAGCTAGAGGGAAACTTAAAAACGTATTAATAAGGTAATGTTGAATTTTTTTCTCTTATTAGTGTAAATAAAAAACTAAAGACAGTTAACTAAATTATTTTAGATAAAAACATTTGTAATAATTTTTAAAGGTTTATGTGTAAAACATGTAAAAACAGTCAGTAAATTTAGTGTCTGTATAGTTTTGGCCCTGGCCTGGGTCCTTACCCGGGTCACCGCTGCCTCTCTCACGGGGGTAGGGAGGCGGTGTTGTTACTGTTGATGCTCCTGGAGGAGCTGCGGCCATGGCCCGGCCCGCTTGCGGTGGGGGCCATGTCGCTGGTCATCCCCGCCGGGCCTCGGCTCAACCCGGCACCGCGCCCCCGTGGCGACTGAGTGGCGGTGCCGCGCTGTACCGCATGTGCGGCTGTCCCGGGCCACGCTGCTGCGGCCGCGCGGTCCGCTTCAGGGGAGCGGCGGCACGGGCGGGTTGGCTCGTGTAGTGGGACATGACCGTCAACTCTAGGTACGGCCCGGTCGCCAACACGGGCTGCCTGCACTCCAGGTGCAGGCGAGCGGCGAAGGCCTTGCAGCTCTGTGCCGCTGACACGTGCTCACCGAAGCCACCGCGCCGCCCTCGGCGCCCCGCGCCGCTCTAGTTTCATTTACAAACTTGCGCCACAGTTTCGGCACAAGCCTGCTTGGTCGCCCGGAATGGCCGCGGGGCCGCCCCGCTACTTCTCCTCAGGCAAGGCGGCCGCCTCCCCGGGCCGGGGTTCCACGTGGAGCTCCGCCAGGAGCTTCACGTGGGTCGGGGGCGCGGCGGGAGTCGCCGCCAGCTACGGCGGGGCTTCCGCGCTCGGGTCACCACCTCCTGTTCCGCCACGCCTTGGCCGGGCCTTGGCCTACTTGCGGCCTCCAGGCAGAGGCGCCCCGGGGCGGCACCACTCCGGCCGCCCAACCCCCTTGTCACTGTGCGCCGGGCCCACCGCTCCCGGTGGTGCCGCCGCCGCTGCCATCTGGGTTTGCGTAGGAACCGCCGCCGCAACCTGGTCGACACCAGCTGCTACCGCGAGATGAAGTCACCGTCGCTGCCGAGCCCCGGCCCGGGGGACCCGGAACCACCACCAACAGTCCTGCGGAACCTTGCACAGCTCCGCCCCCAGTCCGTCTCGCCGCGGCTGCTGAGTGTCCCGTCAGCCTCGTGCCTCGCGCCATCCCGTTGCTTGCTCCAGCCCACTAATTGTGCGAGGGCCACCACAGCAGCATGGAACCTCGCAAGCAGTCTTGACCTTGCTAGTCTGCATTGCCGCCCCTGGCTCCATTTACAAACCTGCGTTACACCCCTGGCGCAAGCCTGTTCGGTCGTTCGGTTCTCCGCTCGTAGTCTCGAGCAGCTCCACGCCTCTCCGAGACACTCCGTCACGGCGTCTGGTATCATGGGCGTGTAGTCCTTTAGTTGCATTAAGAAGTCCACGAACGGCGGGACGTACATACCATTGGACGTGGTCCTGTCCGGGGGAGCGGTCACGGCTGCGGACAACAGCAGGGACCCCCTCCCGTCGACCGCACCGCCCTCGGCGCTCTGCGCTGCCCCAGCCCCCCTGCCTGGCACCGTCCCGGGCGCGGCACTGCCCGCAGCGACCGGGTTGGGTTTGTTACCTTCGACGGGCGTGAGCGGGGCTACCGTGGTGGGCACAGGGTCCACATTGGCGCTGTCGCTTATGGCCACGGCTCCGCTCGGAGTTTTCTCGATCCCGCCACCACCATGGTCCACGACGGGGTGTCCTCGCAGCGAGGTGGGGGGACTTGGTCCGTGGTTGTTGTTTCGAATCTCACGCCACGCACTTTACCGCTATCACGTTCTCCATCTTTTTTAAGGTAGGCACAGCAGCTGTTGCTTAGTTACCGGCTCCCAGCACGGACCATGTTCCATGCATGCCTCCAGCAGAGGCAGTCCACAACATGGCCACAAGACAGGAAGAGAAGGCACTACCTCTTGCTCCCGGCATGGGCAATATGGCACTGCCCATGTTCCGGCGTGGTCTCCACGTGTCTGCAGGTTTTTAATGGCTTGGGGATTCAAAGTTTGTTCCCTTTTACCAGTCACATAATCCACGACACGCGCCTTCTTCCTGGAATTCACGCATCATCCACGAAAATTCAGTACAAAAAGGTATATTCTAAGGCTTTTCTTCCATGCTCTCAGACCCCCTCCCCCTTTCCACACTACAGTAGCACATGGAGTTCCATGTTTTACAATGTTTGGGGGAGGGGAAGATTCAAAGTTTCTCTCTGTGGACGAGTTCTCTTGCGAGGGTTTTAAAGTGTCCACCTTTTTTACTTCTGTTTTCTCTCTGTTTCTCCACTCCTCTTTCCAAGTAATTTCATTAAGAATTGTAAATAACAGCAGTCTTAAAACAGTTATTTTCATTAATTTTAAAAGTCCAGTTATTTTATGTTTGTTAACTTGTCTCCAAAGTCTTTTCAATATTAAGCTTAAGGTTTTTGCAGTATTCTGCGGTTCACGTGAATTAAAAGTTTTCATTTTTTCTCTTTTTGTTTTTTCTCCTGCCCTCTCACCTGGGACGTAGATTTTTCTTCTTGAGAGCACCCTCTCAAAACGTATGCAATTTCCTACCGAATTCAGGCATTTTTTCGAGTTCAATCGCGGTTTCTCCCGCCTACGCCCATCAGAGTTTCCTTTCCTCTGGTACCTGGCGTTTATTTCTTTTTCACGGCAGACGTCCCTCAGCGTTATTATAGGCTGGTACCTGACATCTGGTCCATATTTCTTCCTGATTCAGGATAAGGCTTAGGTCCCTGTTCCGGGTGCCATATGTAGCAGTTATTAATATAATAAATAATAAGTCCCATAGGGACCATAGCGACACCAACGTGATGTGTAACAAGAGATCCGTTTATTCAAGGAGTCCCAGCTTATATATCAGTTTCAAATGCTGCCATGTCACACAGGTAACTTCTTAAACCAATCTCATACAAGCATTCAATAGAGTGATATCTTGGAGTTTTGATGTTTTAATTTTTTTATTTTTGTAGACCTTAGAAGTAGTTATGTAGTAAATGTAGATTTTAGAGTAGCAGCATATTATCCCTTTACCCTTAACACACCAGCTCAAACCCCTGTTACCCATTCCCATATCAATTCCCTAAATTCCATAGCCTGTTTAGTCTCTTTTTCAAGGTAGAATTGTAGAAGAACACCCTAACCCTACGGAACAAGATATAGCCATAGACCCAACAACCTTCAGGCCTAGAATTCTGGAAGGCCTCCAAGGACATTACGTGCTCTGAGGAAGATGAAGATGAAGAAGAGGGGGTCCCAAAACGCCCCCAGACCCAATTCTCAAGAGGCATGGCGGGGGCAGAACCTGGGTGGTAACAGGACTGGGATTGGGCAAAAATCATTATAAAAACTGTGGACATCTGTGTTTCGGGAGCGCTGGGGTATTCCAGAAAGCCTGGGGGCTCATTAAAACTTTTGTATCCTTATCTCCTACCTAATTTGGCTTGGAGTCTTTTTTTCCCCACAGCCATTTAGGCAACAGTTTGGTGACTCCGTATGGGGAATCGAGACCTGTGACTCCTCTGGATCGGTATTCCATTTTGCAGGGATTTCTTTCGGGCTGGCATATCTTGAAGAATTCCTGCTCTGATCTTGGGGGGCCCAGCTTCTCGGAATCGCACGTGGAGGAGGTAAGATAAAGAACAAAACTCCTAGAGAATTTTAATTAGGACTGCGGGAAGGAGTTTCCCCAGGGCTAGGGAATACGGTGAGGCTGGGAAGGGAAACTTGGACTTGGGCCCAAAAGTCAGTGTTTTCCCAGTCTGTTGGCAAAGGGATTTTTGCCGGAGTGGGCAGTGGAACTGCCCAGAAAGTTTAAGTTTGGGCAGGCAGGAGGATTTCAGGTTTCTTGTTGGCCAGGTGTGGTCGGAGAGGGGGGGACGCCCCCCGCTTGAAACTCTGTGTTTCTGCCTGAACCTGGTAGTGTCTGGATTAGACACAAGGTCTGCGGTGCGTGTGTGGCTGTGAGTTCTAGGTTAGATCTGTCGTTTTCCTCGTGTGTTGTTTGTTAACATGGGATGTACACAAGCTAAAGAGGAAATTCCAGAGGGAACCCCTCTTGCTTTGGTTTTACGGTATTGGGATGATTTAACTGGCCCTGAGACATCTTTAAAAAGGCGGGAGGTAGTTAGACTCTCTATGGATGTTTGGCCCTATACCAGGAAAATTAGAGGAATAGTCTGGCCGAAATTTGGTTCTTTTGAGGCAAATACAGTGTTTCATCTTATGACAATCCTTCATAAGGAGGAAATGTGGTCAGAATTGCATTATGCAGAATTATTCTACCTTTTCTTAACCCGTCCAAAATTGAGAAAGGTATATAAAAAGGACAAACTTAAAACAGAAGTAGAACTGACAGAAATGGCATTAGAGGAGAAAAAGAAAAATCGTGCTAAACGTGAATCAGTCAATACTGAAAGCCCTGGAAATGAAGATCTGAACCTTTTAATTCCCCCAGATATGAGAATAACAAGCCCAGGACCCTTCCTGGGTCCGGCCGCAGGTGCGGGGGGCGTCGGTCCATCAGGAGCGGGGGTAGCCCCTGGGGCGGGTCCTGCCAGCTCGGCAGGGACAGCTGGATCTGCGGTGCCGGGTCCAGTTGCTTCGGGGGCCTCGGGGCAACGGCGGGACAAGCTGGGACTACTTCCGGGTGGAGCGGGGTCCTGGGAACTGCTGTTGGTGCTCCGGGACCGGGGGCCGGCGCCGGCTGTTCCAACCGGCTACGGAGCAGTGGGAGCCGGGACAGCCTCTGCCCCGGCTGTGCCGGGAACTCTGGCACCGGCCAGACCGGCGGTA